CCTTCTTTCACACCCACAAAAGGCTTGCATGCAAACTTCGGCCAAGATTTAAAACTGACCTAACGTAAAATCTAATATTTCAATGAGCATTGTTTTTAAAAAATCCTTCACAAATCATGTTTAGGAATAAGAATAAAACACTTGATAGAACATATGTTAGTGAGGCACGGAAACTTGAGGACATTATTATGGCAGATTTTTTTTTTTCAGAGGGAGGAAGTTGAAGGGCACGATGACCTCATCTGTGAGCTGCAGGGAAGTTGAATTCATGCCTAAAGAGAAAGACTCATGAGCGAGACAGATGCAGACTGTGAATTAGAGACTGCTCAAGCCAAACGGGGTAAGACTCTCGATCTTCTCTACTACACTGAAAAAAATCGTTGCTAAAATATATATATTTGCATTTGTGCACATCCATCTGTATATATTTGTAGATTTGATTTTTCATGTTAGAAAAAAATAATTTTAAAAATCATTAAAGCCTATGTGGATTACAGCTGCTGTCACAATCCACTTTTTGTCGTTTTTACTCTCACTCGGTTTGATGATAACTAACATTATTTTTTGTCGTTTTTTGGCCTGTAAATGTGTGGCTCTTTAAACGGCTATAAATCTAACACATAATATCTTTCACTTTTGAATTTTCTTGCTGTCTCTTGAAACAAATTCAGTAAAACAGTATCGTGTGTTGTATCCACCATATATGGCAAAGAAGTAGCAATAGTATATGCAACTGTCTCCTGAATGCAGCACAATAACCATAAATAATCACCTCACGGTGTTAGAAAAAGTTCAAGGAAACCTTCGTTCTTACTTTTTAAAATCCTGCTGAAAGATTTTTTTCAGATAATTTAAGTATTGTGGTTGAAGTAAACATTACGGCAACATTTCTTTCATATGTGTTATCATCCGTCCCTTGTAGTGGACATCAGGTCTTGTTTGCTCACAGGCTGATGTGATGTAATGATATTCGTCCATTTTTCTGTGCATTTCTTTTTATTTCATTAATATTAAAACTGTTAAATCCTGGAATACTGTTATTATAACAAAGAACTCCTCATAGTCAAACGTTTTTTCCATTCTGTGCATGTAAATACTCCCCTAAACCTGGGTTTAACAATGATCACGGGTGGCATTACAGAGGACTGAGCGAGAAAGGATCTTACTAGGACCTGTAGAAGGGGAGTCGGACTCAGTGCTGTCAGGAGATGAGGTGGAGGAGGCCAGATTGAAGGGTTTTGAGGGCCCTGAACAGGAGCAAAATGATGACACTCTATTATGGATAGGAAGCATTGTGTAAGTTAGGACTCGGAAGTTGTGGGATTGTGTTTCTCAGCGGCCGTACAGGACACCGACCTGTGAAGGGACTCATCCTTCGGTGGTCTCAGCGTTGTGGTCAGGACCTCAGGACCTAATTATTTTCTGTCACTTTGATGGAAGCCTAATCTGTCTTGACCTATATATACTACTAGGAATCACTAAATTTGAGTCATGCGTGAACACAGATATGTTGAAGAGTATTTTCGGTTTTAATGTTGCCTTTGGAGATGAGCACCTCCCTCTGGTCTGGTATGTGCTGACATTTTTTTTTCTAAAACCTAGTTACCTATTTTCCGTCTGATATAATCAGCGCCAGCTGTGGTTATGAGCAATGTTGTTCTGTTTTCATTTTTCATGTTAAAAATAATTCTCTGGTTGAAACTGAATTGATGAAGACAGGAGAGGTAAAGCTTAATGCACTTCTAGTATGAATTATATAAATCAAAAGCTGGTGTGTCTGTGTGAAACAAGGCTTTTCCTTCTCTAGAAATTGTAAGCCCTTTATCAAAGAATACTTCTAATGACATATCACCTCAAAACCTGGTATGTTCTCCGCCGAGCTTTCACCTTCATCCTTTAATGTCTGGCCTTCCCCCACGTCGTCTCCTGACAGCTCTTGATCCGACTCTACTTCCACAATATTGAGTAAAAATCTTTCTGCCTCACTCTGCCCTCTGCTTCTTGAAGTATTGACCCAGGTTGAAAATAAATAAGAGGTAGTAAGTCCTGCTGTCTAGCGCAGAGATAAATATTTTGTTTTCAAAGGGATTGAATTACTATACATTTCTAAAGTCCCACTAAATCAAAAGTAAGACTCTCAAATTTTATCGCTCAAACTCCTGTGTGGCTATAAAACGTGGAAGCTGCCATTCCTGTTATTTTGAAAAGAAAGTCCATGTGGTCTTGTTAGCCAGGCCCCACAAATGTGTTATCAATAGAAAGACCAGGATGTCTTCTTGACCACACAGTAGGGCTCATACAGAGTGCATAAAGTGTATTCTCATAGTTATGCCCTCTGCAGAGGACAAAAGGGATTGCTGGATCTTTTACATGCACAGTTACATTACAGTATTATATTTAAAAACAAATACCATGTAGCTGTTCTCAAGGCCTTTGCAGTAGTTGCGCCATATAAAAAAAGCACCACACAACATACACAAGTTAACAATTAGCTAACAATGATTTAATTATGCCCCGCGACCCTGAAAAGGATAAACGCAAGCGACTGGATGGATGGATGATTTAATTATGCATGATAATGAAAACAATTATCTCTCCAGACCAGAAGCACCATGGCCTGCGCTGATGTTGATATGGACATCCATGATGAGGACGATTGCCACAGAGGTGGACAGAGGGAGCAGCCAGTAGTGCGTTATTATCAGGCCTCTGAGATGATACCAGACAAGAAAGGGCCACTGCACGATCTGATGCAGAAACATCCAGCTGTGTTGGGGGTAAGAGGACTCAAACAACAGTCTTTGTGAAGTGTGAATTTGAGTGATGTGCCACAGAGCGATTGCACGCTGATGGTTGCTAATACCAGCAAAAGGAGACAATACAATAATACAAACTACTTTGTCAACAAAGATATGAGCAGTCATTAAACCCTATAAGCTCTCATAAATGCCCAAAATTTAATGACCTGCATAACCTCTCACATTGGATTTGTTTTGTTTTGTCTGCTATTTAAGAATATGCTTCACACTTTGTATGTTGCACATCGAGAAAAAAAAGCAAGTTTTATTTTCTCACACCTAAATGTATGAATCCTTTTTTCAAACGTTGCATAGACATCCACAGGGGAATTTTTATTTCTTACTTTTTAATTTCATGTTTAAAAACATTTATGAGTGTTCATGCAAAGCACATATGATGTGTAGACCTATCCAAAATAACAAGAGCACTCTGAGCAGATGTGGGCAGTAGCAACAGGAAATGCTCGGTGTTTTTGTTGCTTCATGTATAAAAACGGTTTCATATAACCCTTTATAATGTGCTAATTGGTAAAAAGTGTGCACAATTGCTTTTAAAACTAAAGGATAGATAATAAAGTTCACAAACTTACTTATTTAATATTAATACCATCGAACAATTGCTCATAATCAACTTTCCCTTCTTTGCCTTCATTTGCTTATGTAGGCATGTTTATTAGCTCTTTAGAGTAATGACCCACAGTAACTGATTATCATGCATAAGAACAGTTTTCCACATTAAAATTAATTAAGAATGTTCTCTTTAGGAATTCATGAATAAAAAAGGGTTATTGTAAGAGGATCTGAGATTGATCTGTCCTGTTGCTGTGTGAATGTGTCTAGGATTTATTAAGTTACCTGTATTTTACCAGCCACTGAGATACTGTCAATCCATCCAATTTACAAGAGAGATGGGATCATACAAAATGCTTGTATTTTATTGTATAAAATACAACATACGCATCATAAAATACAAAATCTACAGTATAACAAACAATATACTAATATCCACCACAACCACATTAAAAAAAGTTCATCCAGATCTCATTAACTGTTTCCTGTAATTCAACAATAGATATACGCGTCAAAGTTTAACCCTTTCTGCAAACTAGTCCATGCCACAGTACGTAGTACGAAAACACAGCTTTCACCAGGTCTGTCAAAACCCTCGGCACATCTAATAGCAACTGTTAGTGGCACATAGCTGGTAACTATTGGTACTTGGACAGAGATGGGTACAAAGTACAAACTGGGAGTTTACCCAGTATCGTTACCTACCATAGAGAATGCGATTCGGAGACTTTGCAATAAATTGTAGAGAAGTGTGGTACGCTGAAACAAGAATCTGTAAACCTGAGGAGGTGGCGAGCAGTACAGTACATCTATACTATACTATATCTATACTATCTATAAATCTATACTATAAAAAATAGTACATCTATACTATAATAAATCATAGAAAGAAAAGTTGTTTGCACCCATTTTTTCTTAGAAGAAACTGTAAAGTAATTTTGATTCATCAAATAAAAACCTTCACTCTGAGCTTCCTGGAAAGATTAGCAATGTGCACATTATAAAAAGCTTATCATTTACCCATACACCCAAACACTTGTATATGTCGAATATAACAGTGGTTAAAATCATCAAACCGCTGTTAGCGAGCTTTTCAGAAGACCATAAACAATGTTTTGTAAATGTTTCTCATAGCTGTCCACAGCACAATGCCGTTTTCTGTCCAGGGCACTTATCATGTGAGCACAATAGTTTTCATTTGTAAAGTAATATTGTTGCACCCAGGCGTGCATGGGATAATGATGTTTCTTTTCGTATATGGTCATGTGAAAATGAAACTTTTCATGGGACCTGAATAAAAGCTGACGTTTTGTCAGTTTGTTGGTGTGGAGCAGTCCGTAATCCTCCCCGGACTGGAGGTCTCAGCAAATTCACTCCTAGGTCAAACTGTGCAACGCTCAGAGAAATTGCAAAAAACCCAAGAGCCACATCTCAGGCTCTACAGGCCTCAGTTAGCGTGTTAAATGTTAAATGTTTATGACCGTACAGTTTTTAAAAAGCCTAAATTGAATAACTTGTTTGGAAAACGTGCCGAAAGAAAGAATCTTCTCCCTAGAAAGAACACGGCTGCACAGTTTAGGTTTGCAAAATTGGATCAGAAGCAAGC